ATACACCAAAAACCAAGTTTGTCATCAGATTTTCATGTCTTATTCCATAACACAAACTAATTAGTGTTAGAGATCAACTGAACTCACTTTGCAATGGCTTCATCTCTGTCCCGTAGAGCTTGCTGTAAAATGGCAGCATCTTCCCCAGACTTATTTCCCTGTCAATAGTAGCAGATTTGTTTTAAAGGCCACCTATTATGCTTTTTTTGATTATACCTATAATGTGTAATATAATTGTTTGTGCATGTAAATGATCAGTAAAGTTACAAAGTCCATGTCAGTGGGAGTTAATATCGCCAACAGAAAAAAAAAATGTCCTGAAATGCTTTGTTTGTAGTTCTGCCATTAACCCTTGTGTGTCAATTAAAAAAAGTTACACATAGGTCCATAGTGGACAAAAATGTCCATGTCATAAAAATTTGAAGCTTGGGAGCACAGTTAAGTTTGGTCTCATTTTAAAGAAGACCCATGGCAGATTATTGTTGAAGTAAAAAAAGTTTAAAAAGTGAAACCAAAAAAAAAGTTCTAGATGTTTAGGTTTATGAAAATGATTTATGAACGATGTTTTATATAAAATATATATTTTATGAAACATGTTGAACTCTATACCTGCTAGAAAATCAAAGCCATAAATCTAAACAAGTTGTATTCCAAATTTGAGGTTGATATCTCAAAAAATGAGCTTTCAGTAAGATTTTGTTTGGGCGCAGTACCACACAATATATATTTTTTTTTTATGACACACATACAAACCACACTCTGACATCCATACCAACACACCCACACAATTATAGCTGCATTATTTATCCAATTGGCTCTATAATATGCAGAAGCAGAAAACAGAAATAAAGCGACTATTTTCTTTATAGGTCAAACCTGAAAAAATAGCACCATCTGGTAAAAATAGTAAAAATAAATATATTTTAAAGCCTTGCCAATATAATGAAAGCCTATCAACAAAAATTGCATAATTTTACAGTTAAATGGCACTGCGATTAAAAATAGCAGTTTTAATGGGTTTCAATGGGGACATTTTTGTCCTTAAGGTCCTGAGAGGAACAATTTTTTGTACCTAGTGCAAAACAGATTTATTAAAGGAAATGGAAGTGAAATAGTAAAATTCCAATAAAAATACACACCTGTGCCAAAATGTATGCAGTTAGCAATAACACAGGCAAAATGATCAAAAAAACAAAACTGTCCAAAAGGTCGCACAAGGGTTAAATAAGCGTTTGACCAATAAACAACAAACTTAGCCAGCTGACCAAGAAAGCAAACTGGGCTCTTGGAAAGGTGGGCTTTAAGAACTAAAATAGACAGGGACTTAAACAAAGTGTTTAAGGCAAAGAGATGTATAGTGAGAAAAATAAAGTGTTTTTGAACTTAATTTCACGTAATTATATTCTAGCAGACCTCAAAAATTTAATTATGAACATTAATATGGGCACTTAAAAAATGTCTTCAATTGTTCTATGAATAATAGGAGCATGAAATGGTTACGCAAGGCCTTACAATTGAATGGAGGGATGAGCATATTCAAAAAAGGAGGCGTGTCCCATATGAGCTGATGGGCGTGGCTAATGCTCACCTGAGAGGTGTGGTTAATGGCAAGACTCCGGGCCACTTTCTGCAGTTGAAGCAGTGCCTTGTCTAAAGGGTTAGCCTGGGACGGCTGCTCGGCTTCTGTTGACTCGAAGTCTGTCAGAGGGAGTAGCAGCTTTACAACAGACTGAATCTCCTCTGCCACCTAGAAGCACCACAAAAACAATGAAGACGCAATTAGGACAAGCCCTGATTGCATAAATTAAATCACAATCCAGTCTGTTATAAACTGCCATCACTTATTATGAGAGGGTGTTTGTAGGTTAAAGAACATTTTCGACTGTGGCATGACAAAATTGAGACTCACCCGTTGTCTGTTTTCACTCCAGCCGGGTCCGCTATCATTCTGCTGTTCCAGTCTATCCACCTGAGCCTTGAGCCTCAGACTGCGCCTCCGAGATAATTCCACTTCCCTTTTCACATGCTTCAGCTGCCGCCATAGAGAGAGTGTTTAAATGAGCACAGCATACAAGCTACTATTGACATTCTGTAGGATTCAAGTAACTACACTTGTGGTGCATGTCTTGTGCCTTTTACAACCTTGCTATTCTGGATTCTCAAAAAACTGAGACAGGTGGAATCTGGCCATGCCGGTGAAACAAACAGGAAGCATTCAGAACCAAATCGGAGATGACCTTTACTCCCTAGTGTGAAGTGATTTGGTTACTTAAATCTGCTGAAAAATGTTTATACTAAATGTTTCAAATGTCTGAGTATGGTGTGTCAAAAATGTCTGTGTTGTTTTAGTTTTAGTCAAACAGGCATCCTTAGGAAAACATTATAAATTCAGCCAGTAAATCCCACATTCCATTGACACTTAGTCAATGTGCTGGACATGGATTTGCACATAAATAAAAGATAAAAACGTTCATGTTCATTATTAGCTTGAAAAAGAATTTGGATGAATGGAGAAAAGGCAGATGAACATTCATTAAACAATGACTGGCTATCTGGTCCTTTCATTGATCTGGCCCTTTTGTTGTTTGTTTGGATCAATGATAACATTTAAAATATGTTCAAATAAATAACATTTCTGATCACTTCAAACTGTTTCTCTGCTGTCCTGGCAGAGATATGCTCCGAGGTCACTTTGTATTAGCATCATAATCAAATAAAAACAAGTATTTCAAATGACTGACATGAGGGTAGGGACTGATAGTTTGGATACAGTGATTAGCCTATTTGTCATGAAACAATATGAAATACAGGCTACATGTAAATAATGAATGAACAGAAAATAAGTTAAACATTTTAAATACTTCTTATGCATTTCTTATGGAGTCTGGGTGAGGGATAATTGTAAATAGTCATTCTGTCTGACTTGTCATTCAGTCAATTCTGTCAAATGTAATATTTTAAAACACTTTAAAATTAGGAAAATATAATGCAAAATATACAATAGCTATACATTAACATTAAAATTAATAAAATCCTTGAAAAGAAAATATGTCTGAAATTTTTTTAAGCATTTCTTAAAGAGTCTGGGTAAGGGATAATCCAAAACTAGCCAAATTCTGTCAAATGTAACATTATAAAACACTTCAAAATTAATTTTAAAAAAAAATTAAGTAAAGAGATATCATAAAAATTAAAGCAATTAAAATTCTTTAAACACAACAAGTCAGAAATTATTAACAATTTGTATTCATTTCTTTCAGAGTCTGGCTGAGATGGTGAGAAGTCAGATTCTGTCAAATGTAACCTTTTAAAACGCTTTAAATTTAGCAACAACATGTATTAAATAAATACGATAAAATGTAATTAAATGTAATTATAGCTATAAATATTTTTTTCTTTAAAATTGGCTGATCATGGGGACAGAAGGTGCGCCTAACTGAATAATTACACTACTTCCCCTTTGTTTATTTCCCCCACTTTGTTCAGTCTGCGTTCACTGATTCTGAATCACTGTACTCATAATAAGCATGACTCACCGTGGCAGACACCGGGCTGGACACTCGTCTGCGAAGTGGGCTTCCACTCCGGAGCAGATCCGGTAACGCTTCATCTAAGTATGACCGATCGGACTTCGGGGGCGCGTTTGGGTCAGATTGTTCAGCCACTGCACTGTTGTCATCCACTGCCAGCTGTTCTTGTAACTCATCCAGCGTGCACAGCGGCGAGCTGTTAGACTCTCTGTCAGTGTCATGACTTGAAATTGAATCCTCATCGTCAGTTAATCGTCTGTGGCCTTCCTCAGTGGTCAGTGGTGATTCCAGGAGGTCCCTGAACGTGCGCAGTCTTACTGGTGAATCTCTTCTATAGCTCTCCATTATCACCTAAGAGCGGCCAGAGCTGAAATGCATGTTCTTATCAGGAAAGAGAAGACTGAAACTTCGATGAGAGAATGCCTTCAAACCAGTTTTTCCTGTCTTTTGACGCTCAGAAATGTGCGTCAACAACCCTCACAGGGTTTGACATCAGAGTTTACCGAACCGGTCATCACTATCTTGTACCTCTGTGTACGCAGATTAATATAAACTTTGACGAGATGGTCGTGCGTGTTCAGGCCCTTTGATTATGTTAAGCTTTGAACACAACACTTCCCACCGAGCAAAAACTCGTCGAAAAGACGTAAATGCCAGACGTCTAAACAACGTTAAAATTTGGTTGAAAAGTGAAAGGTGAAAAGACGTCTTTTTCAGGTCGTCGAAAAGACGTCTATAAAAAGACTCAACGTCGCTTTAGGGCTAAATTGGGACCAAATCCGACGGACCAAACAAAGACCAATTTTCAACGTCGCTTTTTGGGCTAAAAGAAGTCCATGACGGGCCGACTTGATTTAGCTCAAAAAACGACGTCCAAATGACGTCTGGTGCTGGGTGGGTTAAGCTATAATTAAATCTCCCTAAGAGAGAAGTGGAAGCTAGAGAAAGAAATTGCATACATATTATAAAGGCTAAATGAATGCTGTTAACATGATCAGATATGTCTAAAGTAAACACATGGGTACATGCTGTTCCGTTTGGCTATGCCCTCACCCTTACTCAAATAACAGCTCGTTTATTTATAGTAGCCTAGCGATGGGAGCACCGAATCATTACTGCGAAATGGTTCTTTCGAATAGTTTGTCAAAGAACCGTAAAACGATTCAGTGATTATTTACGTTGTTTGCCTAATAAGTGCTGTTAATAATTATTTTATTAAGGTTTATTAATAAATGAGTTAGTTGTAATTTAATGTGTTCCAGTTCAGTTTATTGCAGTCGCGATTCAGATTTTTTATTATTATCATTAATAAAACCTAGTTTACCGGAGACGAATCCGCCCTGAGCTATTTAGTTTTTATTTAGCTATTTAGTATTTAGCGAACGAAATGTTCGGACTGAGAACCGGTTTGACCGATTCAATGATCCGACTCATAAGAACGATTCATTCACTGACATATTTATAGCCAAGGCTTCTGGACCGAAAACTGGTGCACTATTAAGGTTATATAAAGAAACGACAGGGAAACAATTAACTTCTAAGGCGTTTCGTTCTTGAGGGTGTTGCAACTAAGCGACGCCTGTTATGGATGAGCAGAAGTATAAACTATGAGCTTCCATAAAAACTAAAGGGCGAGCCGCTATAAAGGTGAGTGAACTCAGCTAGTTCAAGAGTAGACTGCTGTTTCCTTTCTTAGTTAATATAACCAAAAAATCACCACGAATTATGAACAAAAACAAAATGATTACACATTGTTATGAAATATTGGTGCAAACAATTTGACCCATGACAAGTAAAATAGGCTACCTGTGTTTGTGTGTATGTGATCAACTTTAAAAGGAAACGGAATCTGAAGTACATCACTGAATATCTGGATATCAAAATGACAAAAGAGGAGGAAAACCCTGAGTGGGTTGGTGGTCAAGAATTTTATGACAAATATGAACCAAAGGAGATATTAGGACGGTAAGTGTCACCTATCTTGATGAGGGTTGTGTCTGAAAAAAGTAAATCTATAACAGTTTAGTCAGACTACATAAAATAAAAAACAATAAAAATACAATTCTAACATCAAAATTACATGATAAGTCCTGAATTTGTCTCAATGTCTTCTCTACCAGAGGTGTGAGCAGTGTAGTTCGCCGATGTGTGGACAAACGGACTGGCCAGGAATATGCAGTAAAGATCATAGACATCACACCATCAGACAAAATGACATCTCAAGAGATACAAGAAATCCAGCAGGCCACTGTGAAAGAGATCGACATTCTTCGAAAAGTGTCTGGACAAAAAAACATAAGTATGACTGTCCACTGCTAGTCTTGATCCCTTTTACAATACTGTTCATTTACCACAAAATATAACCTAATATAATGGTGCAATGATACAGAAGTTTATCTTTTAAGAAATTCAATTTCTTTTTGAATTACAAAAATAAAAATGATAAAGCTATGGGTTTCTGCAACAACAACAACAACACATCAGATGTCTTTTTTCTCATAGTTCAACTGAAGGATTGCTTTGAATCAAATGCCTTCTTCTTTTTGGTATTTGATCTGTAAGTATGGCTTTTCTTCCTTTCATGGCACACAGTCCTCAAGTCTGTGCATCACTATTGCTAGTGGTCACATAGACTTGAGAGACCTTTTAGCAAACACCCTCAAAACTATTTAATTGTGGCTGCAATTTTTGCACAGGCAAACCACTCACATTTAGCACAGAAAATGCAAAAATTAAGATTTATCCTCATTTTCCCTGGTAGCACATTTTCACCGCTAACCGTTGTTTTGTTTACAAGTTTGCTTTCTATTCAGATTTCTAGATGTTCCCAGTGGAGATTATCGGTCGGTTGACACTCCACAGCATACAGATAAGACACTGGCTATTCTAAGAGACCACAATATGGCTCATTGCCAAGATGCCATGTTTCTGCCAGAGCCTGACTTTCAATACAAACATATGCACAAAATCCCTCCAAATTCCTTCTTTTGAGACTTCTGTAGTTACAACTTGTCTGTCTGTAATGTGCCAATTTTATATCACCAGACTAACTGGTATTGCTTATCTTTCCTTAGTTTTTAAAGTTTATTAGTTTATGTTTAAAGATGAATGTTCTTTTAACAGGATGAAGAGAGGGGAACTCTTTGATTACCTCACAGAAAAAGTCACCCTAAGTGAGAAAGAGACAAGGTAATTCTGATACGAATTTTCGATGCTCCTGATATTTAAACTGTGTAAAACAAATCCTATGCTGAAGAGGGGATTATATAATCAAATGGTTTAAGTTGTTGGGCATCTTGAGTGTTGATAGGTTTAAAGTTAGGTCATGGCACACTGCCATGCTCATAAATATAGTGCTCTGTCTACTTTTATGAATTCCCTCATATGCTACCATTTAAAAAGTTTAACAGACTTCTTTTAAAAACCTTTAAAAACTCATACTGACCCCAAACATTTGGTAGCGTACCTTATGTTCACTTGTTTTTAGCATATAAATCTCATATTTAACGTATAAAGTTAATCAGTGAAATTTACTTATAAAGCAACTCTAGCCCATTCACTGCAGCTGCTGTATCGACCTTAGAGGTAACATCTTGATTATTGGCTCAAGTTTTCTCTTTTCTCACTCTTTGATAGAAAGGTAATGCGAGCTCTTCTGGAGGTGGTTGAGTATCTTCACACCCACAATATAGTCCATCGTGACCTGAAACCAGAGAACATTCTCTTAGATGATGATGTGAATATCAAACTCACTGACTTTGGCTTCTCAATCCAAATTGAGCCTGGACAAAGACTGAATGGTGAGTTCTTTAAATATAAGCTTTCGGAAGGAATGCTTACAGATAATGTCGTTTAGAAGAACCTGCCTCTGTTTCACCCCTAGAGGTTTGCGGGACACCAGGTTACTTGGCTCCAGAAATCATTGAGTGCTCCATGGATCCCAACCATGCTGGCTATGGGCCTACTGTTGACCTGTAAGCACATAAAATAACTATGCATCAGTGTTATTTTACTTTATTTATATTAAGTATTTATTAATATTTTAATTAGTGTTTATTTTTACATTTTAAATTTGTATTGTAATTTTGGGTTTTAATAATTTTATGTGCTTTTGTCATTTTTTAAATATTTCTGTATAGATTTAATTGATTTTTGTTTCATTTTCAATTTAATAATTTTATTATAACATTTTTAACTTATTTTATTTCGGATTGTTGCTAATTCAAAATGTGTAATTTTTTCATCTAATTTTTTTTTTTTAATTTAATTTCAGCTTTATTAACTAAAATGCTTTTTTTAAGGATTAGTTCAGCCAAAAATGAAAATTTCCTTAAAACTTACTCTTAGACCATCCAAGATGTAGAAATTTTGCATTACATCACTTGCTCACCAATGAATTCTCTGCAGTGAATGGGTGCCGTCAGAATGAAATTCCAGCTGATAAAAACATCACAATAATCCACTCGATTATCAATCCAGTTTATCAATTAACATCTTGAGAAGCAAAAACCTGCATGTTTGTAAGGAACAATAAATCATTAAGGTGTTTTAACTTTAAACAGACGCTGCTGGTCAAAATACGAGCCCATAATCCATAATAAAGTTTTCTCCAGTGAAAAACATTCTCTGTTGTCTTCTCACATCAAAATCCACTGACTTGTTTATTTAGAACTGTTTTGAACTGTATCTGTAAATGTATCTGACTTGTATTTAAGCTAGAAGCAATGGGTTTAAGTAAAAAAAAAAAACTGCTTTTTTAAATATTCCTTTTATACTTTTAGTTAACAATAACAAAACTGGTATCACCATCACTCTTATTATTTAAAAAGCATACAGCAGCCCCACAACTCACTTCATACTACAGCAAATTAACGTGGCTTCAAAAATTATTGCATTAACAGTCAAATAAACCAACCAAAATAAATAAATACATGAACTTCCTGCCAGCGACAGTGAACCAGAAGAATATGAAATGATTATGGCAAACTAGCATGTTTAGTACATAAATGTGATGTTATATAACCTTCTGTCTGCTCTTGTGCAGCTGGAGCGCAGGTGTGATCTTCTACACTCTTCTGGCTGGATCTCCACCTTTCTGGCACAGGAAACAAATGCTGATGCTTCGAATGATTCTTGCAGGACAATATGAATTCAGTTCTCCGGAGTGGGATGACCGCTCGGACACTGTCAAAGACTTGGTGCGTGTTGGTTGTGGTCCTGTTTGTCTTGCCGACAACCAGTTTCAAAAGTAGTTATGCACAATTGTGTGAGAAAATGCCTTTCCAAAGTCACCTTGTTTTCTTCCCAGTAGATTTCCAGGTTATTAGTTGTGGACCCACAAAGTCGTTATACAGCCACAGAAGCCCTCAATCACCCATTCTTCCAGCAGTACGTGGTTGCAGAAGTTCGTCATTTCAGCCCTTACAGGAAATTCAAGGTAAAGAGCAGATGTTCTAGATGACGTCTTTAAGAAGGCATAGATTTCAAGACTTTGAGTTTCACCATACACCATTGTTATCCTGCAGGTTATTTGTATGACTGTACTTGCCGCCACGCGTATCTACTGCAACTATCGTCGTGCCAAACCTGTCACCAAGGAAGTGATCCGCAGCGACCCGTATGCCATCAAACCTCTACGCAAGATGATCGACGCATGTGCCTTTAAGATCTACGGCCACTGGGTGAAGAAAGGGCAAACTCAGAACAGAGCAGCATTATTTGAGAACACTCCAAAAGTCATTCTGCTCTCCATTGCAGCTGAGGAGATGGATGCATCACCCAGGACTTGGTGAGGGTTCATCATCTCTGAATAATCCCAGATACCACAATTTACCTTAAGAACATGTTGACAACGGTCCAAAAATACACCTCTACTGCTATGACAGTATATTTCCCCCTTATTTACACAGAGAGAAGGAAATAACAAGTAAATTATATTCAAGGGGCTTTTATTTTATTTTCAACTATTTAATGTGTGTACTTTTATTTAATCCAATATTATTTAATACATTTTTATTCTATTTTGAATATTTGATGCGATTAAAATTTTATAACTAAATAATGACCATAAAGAAAGGCTAAAACATTAAGAAAACTTTAATTTCACAGTATTTTGTGTAAAAAGGCAGATATAACACTGAATTCCAAAAGTTTGTGTCTCCACAGGAGAAATGTAGTATCAGTCCCATTATGCACCACTGGCATCAACTAGACTTGAACATTTGGCTCTTAAAGCTCAGTTCTTTTCAGTTTTGCATTTGAGCTCATAGCACAGCGGAAGCCCAGGTTATCAGAGGCCGAATCTGGTGTGTTTCCCATCCTGCATGAGAGAACATAAAAACACATTTTTATTTATCATATTCTCATAAACTGCTTTGGACAACAGCTTCACCAATTGCTGACTGACCCATTTGGGGTCAAATGGCACTGTTACAAAAAGCAACTATATAATAAATAATAATAGCCTAATAAAAGATGACTATGAATAATATGAATGTAGCAGGATGGAGCATGACTGACCTAGTGGTGACACGAGCTCTGTGATTGGCTGAGCCATCGGCTGTGTCGATCCAGGATGCTCCGCGCAGGACGTACATGGTCTGAGCACCAGGAAAACGTGAGGAGGTCCACTCCCACACATTACCCAGCATGTCATATAATCCTGGAACAAGGTGGGATATTATTCTAAACTCCAAGTTTAGAACAATAATAAGAAGTGGTTTTTGGATATTTTAATAAAAAAATCGTACATATTGTGCCTTTAACCTACTGCTCAAAAGTTTAGGGTCAGTAAGACTTTTTTTTATAAGGAAATTAATTACTTTTATTCAGTAAGAAAGCATTAAACCAATCAAGAGTTATAGTAAAGACATTTATAATGCTACAAAAGTAGGGGTGCAACGGATCGTAGATGATCCGTGATTCGTACGGACCAGGCCCCACGGTTCGGCACGCATGTGATTCGTGGATTAGATGTTAAGTTTAACCATCATAGAGTGAAAGTTTATCATTTACACATTCAAACAATTTAAACTCGCGCGCTGTTTTCTATGCGCTCAGCCGCTGCCGCCACACGAGAAGCACGCACACGCAGAGAGAGACACCGCGTGAACACCGAATTGATTCCTTTTTCAAATACACACAAAGTTATGATACAATACCCGTTTTGGCAAGTATTCTAGTAAAAACAGTCGGTTATGTCTTAAGTGAATGTAAACAGCTGAGAAAGAAACCGGATGTGTGTCAGTATTATGTCTGTGCATTTGGTCTTAAAGACACAGCAGCTGAAGTACTTAAAGTAAGCTTTCACAAATTTATTTATTTATTTATTTTATTTTATTGCTGATCTGAAAAATGATACGATCCGTTGCACCACTATGCAAAAGTATTTTTATTTCAAATAAATGCTGTTGTTTTGAACTTTCTATTCCTCACATAATCCTGAAAAAAATGTATAACATTGATAATAATAAGAATTGTTTCTTGAGCATCAAATCAGATTGATTTCTGAAGGATCATGTGACGCAGAAGACTGGAGTAATGGCTGCTGAAAATTCAGCTTTGCCATCACAGAAATAAATGACATTTAAAATCTATGCAAATAAAAAACAATTATTTTAAATTGTAATAATATTCCACAATATTTCTGTTGTACTGTACTTTTTATCAAATAAACGCAACCTTGGTGAACATAAGAGACTCAAAAAAAGTCTTACCAACCCCAAACTTTTGAATGTGTGAAACCATACTGTAGTTACTACATACCATAGTTATTCTGTGGAGGATAGGCAGTCACAGGAGCTACACCATGATAACCATCTTCTGCGGCGTCCCCATCTGGAAATGGGCCCTTTGTACAAAGAACAAAGAGTTCACAATTTACCAACAGCTAAAGAATTTTATAACCATCTTAAAGGAAAAAAATATATACATTTGTCCCACCTGCTATGGACAAGAATATACCCCAACTGACCTGCCACAGGTTAGTCCGGTTCAGCAAGAACTTGTTGCCCCATGGGTAAGTCCTGCCTGAAATACAAAAATGTGCTGGCTATGATGGCTACATAAAATGAAGTAAAACAGGTGGACAATACCGCATGACAAGAATAAGACAGCAGTTTTTTTAGGTGCTGGGAGGCATAAGGCTTTTTTGGCTTGCCTTCTAAACCTCCACGTGCAGCCATTTCCCACTCTTCCTCAGCTGGCAGCCTTTTCTGCTTCCACTGACAGTAGGTTTGGGCATCATTCCAGCTGACCTGCAACACAGGGGATTCCAGTCTGTCCTTGATACCAGAGCCTGGTCCTGCTGGCTGCACACATCAAACCCAGAGACCCCAGACATTCATACAGCAAAAATAAATAAATAATTGATTTTATTTATTTAAAAAAATAACAATTTTAAGAAAGTATAAAGAAATAAATTATTAAACGTATAACAAAAATGTTATTTATTTATAATTTTTTATTTATAAATTAATAAAACTTGTAAAAGTGTGTGTATATATTAGTGCTGTCAAACGATTAATCGCGATTAATCGCATCCCCCAAAAAAGTATTTGTTTGCATAATATACTGTATGTGTATGTTCTGTGTATATTTATTATGTATATATAAATACACACACAGTATATTTTTTTAAAATATTTACATATATTTACGTCTATATATTCATATAATTTATATTATAAATAAATACATTTAATATATAAAAATAATATATTTCTCTGAAATATATACATGCATGTGTGTGTGTTTATATATACATAATAAATATACACAGTACACACACATATATTACGTAAACAATAACTTTTATTTTGGATGCGATTAATCGCAATTAATCATTTGACAGCACTAGTATATATATATATATATATGTATAGGCATTTAATACATTTTCTAGAATTATTTACTATGCATTTTGAAAGTCTGCACATAAAGTGTTATGTCACCTGTCTCCAGAACACTTTCTCAACTGGTAACCACCAAGGAGCCGACTAGGAAAGAAGAAATGGGTCATTTTAAAGAGAACAAAGGGTTTAAATTGAAAATCTAGTATAAAAGACAGTGTTTGGATTAAGGTAAATTACCATTTAAACACTCTGAAAACCAGACACAAGAAATAGACATTCAATTTAGGCCAGTTGACCAGTAGATTTTGTTTCTTTATGCTCCTGCTTTGGGTTCATACCTCAATTTTCTGAGTGATCTTACTTTTCAGTTCATCTGACACAAAATCCTGGAACACAAAACTCCAACCGAACTTTTCAGCTTCTGTTTTATATTTCTGCTGTCTGACAAATTCCCTGGAATAAACAGAAGCAGTTGTATCAGGCCAGTAAGGAGATACACAAGCATTATGATGACAGTAGGTTTTGAGCTTATATCTTCAAGTACCTAAAGTCAGAGTTGGTGACAGGATATTTGTCTATCTTAAATGGCTGGAGAGTCACAGCTCGTGTTGGTGATTCCTCATCTCTCCCATCAGCAGCACTGGTTCCCATCATCATGTTTCCACCAGGAATAAACACCATCTCATCAACTGCCAAAACAAATGATTATTTATCTTGAACAAAATGTCTACTTACAGCAAATGGTCAGTTTTAGGGTCTTACAAACATTTTCACACACTTTCCACTAAAATATGACATTTCTTTGACCTTTATGTCCCAAGAGTTTAATTTTATTGAAACTTTAAGGATTTAATGATTAATTCAATTTGAATGATTTTCTTCCAACAAACATTATTGTAAACTTTTTACCAAGCTTATATTTTTGCTACTCAATGCCTTTTATGCATAATTGTATTGCTTGACACTTTTCCCGGACACAGAATTGCAATGAAAAATAGGATTTATTATTTTTAGACACCTGAATAAAATAAACATCACCTATTCCAAAAGATATGGCATGGAAATGATTTTTAACATAATCTTTTACACAAATTACGCCCTTAAGTTGTGGCGTCATCACAACCAAAAGGTTTCCCATATTTATGTTTCTTCAAATCAGTTTATCAGAGACAACAACAGTGTCGGTGAAGAACTGGATATGAAATATGACACATGTATGTGTGAAGAAAATAAGAAAATTCAAGGTAAATACCTCTTGTGAACAGAATATTTTTTGTTATTGAGCATCAAGTTGTAATTTTGTTTATTTGGAATACATAAAATGCTATAAGCATATATATATATATATATATATAGTGACATGTCAGCGGTGGGTTGTGAGTGACTATTTTTTTAACGCAAGTTAGCAACAATAACTTTAGTGACTATGACATATTGGCGGAAATTACGTTTTTTAAAAGATTATGTTTTTTAAAAGAAAATGTTGAAATAGTGATTTTTTGGGGGACTTCCTACCTGCTGCACAAGACATCATGCACAATAATAAGAGGTATAAGGTCTCCCAAGAGATCATCATGACAAATATAAAGAGACCTGGTGAGCGAGTTCTTGTCCAGGGTCAGATTTATCAAACTATAAACACAAGCACATTCAACTTTATCTAAAAACATGAAAACGGTCAACAATAACTGCAAATTCAGTCATTCAGTTTCCCTCTACGCGTCGACGAAGCTCGTTGAAAAGTGTTTATCGCCATCTATTGGTTTGGAAAAGAACGAATTAAAGGGATAGTTCACCCAAAAACAAAAAACTGTTTACTCACTCTCAAATTGTTGCAAACCTGTATGAATTTCTTTCTTATGCTGAACACAAAAGAAGATAACCAAAGAGATCCCATTTACTTGGAAGCACTATGGAAGTCATTGGGGACCAGAAACTTTTTGTTTGGTTATCCACATCCACATCTTCAAAATATCTTCTTTTGTGCTCCAAAGAATTAAATTCATACAGGTTTGAAACAACTTGAAGGTGAGTAAAAGATGACAGATCTTTTATTTTGGGGTGAACTATCCCTTTAAATTTGGTGCATGCACTGTGAGTGTCCCACTGTTGTCACAGCCCACTTTTCATCTATCAATAAGTAACTTTATTTTTACTCTAATAAACAGCAAATCTTCGGTTACTATCATTATTGTAAAGATGATCACAGACATGGAGATGCAGCTAATTCACATTCATGCTTTAGGACCTCAGTCAGAGCACTTGCTGTTATTGGACAATATTAGTTTAAAAAAAAATTAAATTGTGTTTTGTTTTGTTTTTGTGTTGTTTTATAATTCTATTTGTGAATCAACTGTTGACAATATTTGAGATATTGTGTTTTGTTTTGTTTTTGTGTTGTTTTATAATTCTATTTGTGAATCTTTTTTATCTATGGTACAACTGTTGACAATATTTGAGATCATATTTTTATGCCTGTTTTATGTCAACAACTGGCCTGTCATAAGCAGATTTGATATATCTGATATTTAGAAAAGGATTAGTAAATGATGATTTATAGCTGTATTGCATTTGCTTCAGACTGGCTGAAATTTTTTTCTAACTTGACCTGAATGCAGTCTTTCATTATACCTAATAGCAATGCTGTGAAATTCTCTTGCCCAATTGTCAAAAATGATTCTGAAAAGCAACATTGTTGTGAGGACAGGACATGCTTTAGAGACAAAGCTCACAGCACAGCAGTTCGAAGAGCGCATAAATGAGGCATTCGTTTGCTTGACTCCGTGAGACTGACCGTGAGAGCATGTTCATGATGGGACTACCATGGCTGCTAGTTTTGGAGCTTGTCCTTTACGCTGGGTGTTTCATCTGTGGGGTGATAGCTGCCGCCTGGATGACACTCACTCAGGTAACACTCATTAATCATCTCTACAATGTCTGATCATTGCTATTTTGTGAGCAGTGAAATTGTAAAATGATTTATTGTTAAGAAAACTAAAAGCATAATAATCCCTCTAGAGAAATGTGATATACTATAAGTCTGTCTCTGAACGTAGTTCAGTTTTAAGTATCAAGATGATAGTGGCAAAACTTTGCGTGCATATTTATGGGACATTTGAGGCATTATTTAGTTATACACCATTCAGTTTGATGTTAACATGTAACATAATGTGTGATCATACAGCATTATTGAAGTGGTCAGATTATTTCTTACTTTTTGGGGGGAGATTAATTGATTTTCAAATCATTTTCAATGATCGGCTACATCTGTTGTTATTCATGATATCATGGTGATTTTAAATATGTGTAAAATAAAAAAAATATGTGCAATAAAAAATACAATATGTTATGTTGCTGATCCCAGGTCAGACCCTCTTGAGCTCTAAAATTTAATCACCATGTGATCAGCCGGCCTCTCGCACCATATTATGGCTTATTAGAGTCATATGATACAGGGACAATAGCACTTAGCACAGCACTTATATCTCTGCGTGTCACAGAGAAATACAAATCTTCCACATAGTTTGTGAAAGAGTAAGAAAATGACCCCTAGATGGCCCTTGCTGTTGTTTCTCCTTATATTTATCATATGCAAATATGGATGATTTTTGTTGATTGTCTCTTTAGGGCCACTTTGATGGACGGTGCATCCTCTATGGAAGTGTTCATTATAATGCATCTGGCCAGGCTTTGACTGTGGAAGGCTCCAGTTCTCCTTCAGTGTGCTATTTCGTGTCAGCCATCTCTGTGTGCATGGCTATTTACTGCTTTTCCCTTATTCTTTACTGGATCTATGCCAGCTGTGTAGATGAGGATGTGAGAAGGTGAATGTGTCAACTTTTCTGTTGACATTCAGATGTGCATTTTCCATATTTCTTTTAGATGTTTCACATTCCACTTTCTTTTATTCATGCAGATGGGACTTAACAGTCAAATTAACAATTTTGTTTTTGTCCTGCATGTATATGCAGGGGGACTGTTTCTCTCAACACTTCTCTGGGAGTCTGTGGTCTTCTTCTGTTTTTTCTCATGGTATCAGGATGTATTCTCAAGATCGGTCGGGACAGCCTGTGTTTCTCTGTCCTTCACAACACTCCCTCTATTACCAGGTGATTTCATCTGCTTTCTTTTGTGTATGGCATTCTGCATCTGTGATTTTGGTGCACTTAAGAACCATATTCTCTACAGAAATATAGAAGATGAGAGATTACAGAGTCAACAATGTGTCTCATAGTTCCCAGTTGCTGTAGTTACAAAAGTAGAGTAAAGAAGAGCCCCTAAAAGACATGGTGACGTGAAAAAAAAAATGAAACGGGAGAAAAAATTATATTTCTGTACTTTTATTCTTTTTAGTACCACTTTTACGTCCTCTTACAAAAGTATTTTGTTCCCCATAAAACTCAGAGTTTTCTCGCAAAAGCTTTGAAATAGTTTTCCATCCCATCTTAAATGATTTCCATCACAAAAGTTTTGTTTTGAAATATAATTTTTCCTCCCATCTCAATTGTTCTCCATCACCATGTCCCTTTAGGAGCTCCATACAAAATTAATGTTAAGTTAAAAATGCACTGCTAGGAAATGTTTTTGTTTTAGTTGTGAAGATGCAGAGAATAAAACTTGGGCCCATCCATACACCGGAAATCGGTTCTACACAGGACTGTACAGTACTGAGGTTAGTACTTTGGTTTAGTTATTCTTCATAAGATCATCAACCTCTCACAGTGGTTGCTATGATAAGAACACATGAGCCGTCAAAAAGAACCTTATCTTGCTAACCCACATTAACAAATAATTTAATAACTGCGAATAGAGTATTTCTGCAATGGCCCTGTTACTGAGAGCTTTTGCATGATGCTGTCTCCACACCAGTAGGTATGCGTCAGTATGCGTGCTTAAAGCTTCTTAGTGTTTCTTTATGCACACCAAATCAGTTTTTCTTTGCATTAATAAATACAGTAGAAATAAATCTCTTCTGTTTCTTGAGCACTCACCCCTTCTGTTTCTTTCTTCTGTAGAGATCTATGTGGGTAAGCTTCTTCTTCTGGGTGTTAATAACGGCTGTGGTGGTCATACAGAGACGCCAGAGCTCAAGGTTGAAGGTTTGGGGTGATGATGAATGGAGCCGTGCTGAGACAGAGCCCTTCCTCCATCGCCCGTCCCGCCAGAGATAAATCAGCAGAGGCCACTATTACATGAGCTTAGATGCAATGTTTAGTGTATACACTTAGATGGGACCACAAGCAGTTATGAAATACCTAAAAATATTTTCATTGCAACATTTGAATTTTTATTTAATTATTCACATAAACAGTTCTTTGATGTTTGATAGCTACAATAATATACACAAAGTTTTGATATATGTCCAGAGAGACAATAAACATGTCTTAGACCATGTCTTTGGACATATAGAAAAATACACCAGGATAAATTCATAATGGCTAATATACAGTCTTTATAATTCTTTACAAATGTGTGCTGTGGATTGTTTAGAGGATTAAAAGAAATCTACGCCAATAACTGATGGTACGAATATAACATTTAGAGTTGAAGTGTGTAAATTCTGCCCTACTACCTGAAGAAATCATGATGGTTTTCAAAAAGGTTTGCCAAACACTCCCCCCATCAGCCATTGGTTGAGCAAACAGATAGTCCCGCCCCAAACTCACACTATTGGTTGAGTGATTGTTGTTGTTTCAAGATTAGATTTTAATTTAAAAAAAAAAAGAAATTCCACATCACATTTCCACATCACACTAGCAGACCACTATTTTTTACTGTCAATGCCAATTTCATTGAATTTAAGTGGTAAGCTATTTCCCCCACTGTGTTTTAGAGCTGCTTACTTAGTTTGCGAGCCTGTCTCTCTTTGGCTTCAAAGGCCACCTTAGTGTCCATCAGAGTTTCCAGTGCTTTGCACATCTCAGCCATGTCCTGTTGAAGCACGTCGCTTTGGCTGAGGAGACTCTGGCTCTCCTCTCTCAGCTGCTCGGCTAGAGCGTCCATCTGCGCGCTCTCCTCCTGACACTGCGCGTGCAACTGAACGGCCAATGAGAGCAAGCCCTCCGCGTGGCTCACCACTGAGTCCAACTGGTCCTTCGACATCCTGTTGTTCTTCACTTCACAGCTGCTGCACACCAAGTTCAGTTGGATTGTGAAATGAGAAAAATAAATATCAACCGTCAACCAGCTAGAAAGTTATAATGGACATTAATATTGACAGCCTATATATCGGGCTATATTTTAATAACAATTTGGAGTCATGTTGTCTTGATAAGTTTTTTTTTTTACATTTACTTTCAAACATCCATTTCAAAACCCTTGTAAATTATAACATTACTATTTTTGTTAAGTCATTATTTTGTGAATTATTAATGTAAATAGCATAATTTTTGTGAATACCATATTTTGCTATGACTGTTGGGTAAACAAGAGAACACAATAAAACAGCTACATAAGCAAGGTAGTTTGACGCTGAAAGGTTGAACTATGCCCACAGGACAAAGGTATTTAATATGAATATCAGGTTGTTGGGGCAAGTTGTCCCATGTTTTAAATGCCATTAATATATGTTTTATCAATGTTTTACTGTTTAATATAAGCTTTTTAATGGTGGGCTCAACCTGTTTGATGAACTGTATTTTTCAACTCAAATTTAATACACACACACACACCGGCCACTTTGCTATAGGTACCGGGTTGGACCCCTTTTTGCCTTCAGATCTGGATATGGATCCATGCTTTCTAGTTGTTTACGTCAAATTCTGACCCTACCATCTTGCCTTTCTATGAGCTCAACCCAGTGTGGCAATTCTCCTCTGACCTCTGGCATCAGCAAGGCATTTTTGCCGCTCACTGGATATTTTCTCTTTTTCAGACCATTTTCTGTAAACTCTAGAGATGGTTGTGTGTGAAAATCCCAGTAGATCAGCAGTTTCTGAAATACTCAGATCAGCCCATCCGACACCAACAACCATGCCAAGTCACTTAAATCACGTTTCTTCCCCATTCTGATGTTCGGTTTGAACTTCAGCAGATTGTCTTGACCATGCCTACATGTCTAAATGCAGAGTTGCTGCTATGTGACTGGCTGATTAGATATTTGTGTTAGTTGGACAGGTACCTAATGAAGTGGCCACACACACACACAAGGTACCTAATGAAGTGGCCACACACACACACACACACACACACACACATATATATATATATATATATAAAGTATGTACACAGAAATACTACAGGAGTAAAAATGTGTGGCATAATTGCATAAAAAGTGGCTATTTTTAACTATTATTAGACACATTTAAATGCAATCCACATTATTTATAAGGAAATGGGTATCTGAATAGGTGGTTCACATCATTGTCACTGACTAGGGCAACATGCTGTGTCGTCTGTGTGACCTAAATCTCTGATGGCAGCAGTAGTCTGAATCATCAGGCTCAAGGGAGGTAACAAGCTGCTTAGGGAAAAGCTTATCACAGCACCACTGTTACTTCACTTCTTTTTTAACTTATATAAGACATATTCAACAATGATATCAATTAAACAAAGCAACCACTGTATTTTGAAAGCTACCAATGGCAGTGGAATGCAGTGTTAATTGGAAATGAATGACTTAACACTATTAGCAACAAGATTCCATTGTCTTAGATTTTCCTGAATCAGGCATTAATAGAGCCATCCTGCTATGAACATATTTAAAATTTCAACCCATAATTGAATAATGTAATTCTGCTCTGAAAATGTTTCAGTATTTGTTGAATGCATGGTTTAGATGTTTGACTTACCAGGTCTGGGTTGTGTCCTTTTATGCAGCACTCAGTCACTGACTTCCTCTATTATTTGTCAGCAGAGCAGAGGCAAGTGCTGCCCTGTCCTTCAGACACAGATTATGAACAGAGGGAGGGAGAGGAAGAGAGGATGACATGCCTTGCAAGGTAATTCCCTGCAAGATTCCCAACATTCCATACAGTTAATCAATTATAATATCATTTAAACCTATATTCGGTTTTACACCATTTTGTACTTTTCCTCATAATAACACTTAAAATGTCCCAAGGTTATATTGTAAAAACCACCACTAGGTAGAGCCATTGGTCAAACATATGTGATTTGAGCCTGCCTGGGTAGTGTGGTGAGATCACTGGCCACACATTAAGCATGACATTTGCTCACCTACAGTGAAAATCCCAAGAAATTCAAAGCACATTGTTAAGAAGTGCAAAATTATTATGGATTCAATTATGTAACCACAGAATATATATATCAGTTTCACTGTTCATCAAACACTGTTGAGCATGTCTCCAACAAGAGTGGAGGTGTTTGATTCAACTGCATTGATTCAACCTTAAAAACAACTCTGGTCATTAGCCTAGAGTTACTGAGACTAAATCCAGAATTTCACATCATTATTAATTAGTACTAAAGGATCATTCAAAGTCAAATGAAGCATCTATGACTTTCAGGTTCTATCAAAACTCTATAAAACATCTGAACACTGTACTATGACAATGTGAGTTAATATTGCACACACTGCTTGTTGTGATAATTAAGGACATCTTTTAATATATTATCTTCTGTGTTGTTCATCTGTAGCTGCAAGTTACGTAAATAAGTAAAAAAAAAAAAAAGAATAAATAATAATAATGCAGCAGTTTTAATAAAATACATGAATAAATAATAATAATAAATCACTCACTCATTGAACACATTGTTAATGGTTTGACTTTATTAATAAGAGCATCATAGTCATGGCCACTGTAATCAATTCCTCATCGCTGAAAGATATGCTAGTGCTTGTTGAAGTTTTAGCAATAACTTGATTAGTAGAAATCCTATACAAACAATAGAGGGATGCTCTTGATGTGTGCTTTGGACTTAACCTTTTTTTAATTATTAATATCCTCTCCATGTGCAAGGCTGTGTTTATACATTTGTTCCTTCAGTGTTTTCAAGGACATCTTATTTTAACTCAATCCCTGCACTGTTTATAAAGTAGGTGACACTTTGTGCTTGTACTGAACTACACTTATATTTTTAATCTTGTTTGCTGTTCTAATCACCGATGTGACTACATGGGATGGTGGATTGTTGCACTACTTTGTATCTTGTGTTGTCTATTTTATCTATTAACAATAGTTGTATTCAACTGAAACAAGCTTAACCCAATAACTTTTTTAACATTCTAACAGTCTAGGAAGGAAGGAATATGGAGGCCTACAAATGGATTGATGGATGTCCCAAAAACCTGAAATCAAGGACAATGGTTTTATAAACATACTAAATTATGTTAATGAAAATCATTTCTGTGAGGGTTAGGTTTAAGGGTAAGGGATAGAAAATACCATTAGCTTAGTATAAAAACAATAGAAGTCAATGGAAAGTCCCCATCATGATAGAAAAACAGATGTATGCAGGAGAATAAAAAGGAATACATTGAGTTGCTGAAAAGATCTACTTTCAATTGGCTGCAGTAGACATGAGGTTGACATAAGAAACCTCTAAGGCAGAGATAAGTAAAGTCATAAGCACTGTGCTTCTAACAGGCAATTAAAAAGAACAAGAGATTAAAATAAGTCATTAGCCAGGACAGTGGATTAAAGCACAGTTTCAAACAGTGAGGGATTACAATTCACCAGCCTACATTCACTCATTGATCTTTTACCATTCCTTTTTATTAGGTCTATTATTATTAGATTTTTTTTTTTACTTTTCCCCCTGAGGACCATAACATTTTGTTTTCTTCAACTCTACCTTAGTAGTGAATCTGAATTGTGATTCTTGCTTCTTTCTAATGTCTATTTAGAACTTCAGTAAATGCAGTTCACATCTCAGTCCCTTTTTCCATAAGATACTTGTATGTTGTTGACGCATGGATTTACAAAACTACACCAGCATGGGCTTTTTCACGTTAATGTGGAGTTGCAAAAACTGCTTCGCAATGTTAAAAGCAGGTTGCAGACACCAAGTTTTTCATGTATAGTACATTACTCCCATGGTCAAAAGGAGGACACGCTGATCTTTTAGTTTGTTATGGACATGATATGCCAGAGATTTCAATAATAGGACATTAAGATCGATATAGGACACTGATGTTCCATGCCTATCAGTATATTCTACTAGGTATGTACTACATATATATATTTATGGTCAGTCTGTATCAAGTCAGTCGACATGGATATGACATGACCGATGTATATTATTTTCATTTCAATCCCTACAACATTCAAGAACAAATTCAGAGTTGCTTGTCAGTGTTACACAGAGACACAAATCAGTCTCTTCAACTTTTCTATCCTGGTTCTGGTACAATTCGCCTCTCTTCCTCGACTTCTCAGTCTCCTTGTCTCCTAACTGCACCCAGATGTCAATCTGCCTCTACTTTTCAAAAACCACTTAAATCCTTCTTTACATCATATTGGTTCTTTTAACCCGTGTCAATGCCATGCCCCCCATGACAGCTCTCTTCCCCGTGAATGATTAACACGGGAAAGTACAGAGCATCTTGGTAAGTGGGTGGCCTGTCTCTCCCATCCTCCCTGGCCTCTCCGTTCTCCCTCTCCTCCACTTGTTCCTGGCCTGTCTCCTCTACGTCGTCACCTTCTAGCCCCTCACTCTCTAACACACCTCTCCTCTCCTCATCTGGCACTCTAAACCCAAGACCAAGGAAACCCCCACCACCCTCTTCCACACGGCCGCCCATCCCACCTCCGAGGCTTCTCGAGTGAAACAGGCAGGGATGGCGGCTTCTTGCAGTATGCAACCGGCCGAGAGAGAAACCGCTGCGACTAAGGGAAAGCCTACCGCTGGGTCTAATGGGAAATGAGTTTGTCCCTGCAGCCATG